CACCCAAACAGTCCCGCCAATCGCGCCCACTGGCATCTCCTGACCTGTATGTGCTGCACCTTCCTGCCCAGCCGAGGCATCCTACGCTACCTCAAGTTTCACCTCAAAAGGTGCAGTCTATTTCTGGGCACGTGCCGTGATTCAAAACGACCCCATGGTCGGAGATTACAACGGGTCGGAACTTCTACTTTACTGTCTTTGTGTGTTTTCAGGATTAAGGAGCTGTTTCCCGGTACAGAGATCGAAATGTTCGCCCATTTCATCGGTGAGTCTCTGAAGAAGACCAAGAACAGAGAGTTTGTTCCCTCTCAAGATGAAATCATGGCACTGCTTACCAGGCAGGAAATGACCACTACAGTGTACTGCCACGGAGGAGGCTCCTGCAAGATCTCCATTAACTCGCACACCACCGCCGGAGAGGTAAGAGGGCCGTCGTCACTGCAACACAAGCAGTTTTTTAAATATCCCTCTGCAAGATATCACTGTGATTACTTTACACAAACGCTGATACAGATGTTTTGGTTTATAACGAGGCAAGAGGAGGCGCTGTGCTAATACATACTAAGCGTTGTGATTGTTGCTCTGTCCAGGTGGTGGAGAAGCTGATCCGAGGTCTGGCTATGGAGGACAGCAGGAACATGTTTGCACTCTTTGAACACAACAACACTATAGACAGAGCTGTAGAAAGCAGGATTCTTGTGGCTGATGTTTTGGCTAAATTTGAGAGGTATGTTACCCGTGATTACTCTTCATTACATATTATATTTGATATTGTTACTATAAATTCAGGGTCCTGTCACATAGGATACCTAACACCCGTTGATAAGAAAGGACCAAAGTCGATATGTAAGTGACAAGTTTGTGGCTTTTCCCACCAGACTTGCTGGCAGTGAGGAAGCTGAGGATGAAGGCCAATGGAAACTCTATTTTAAACTCTACTGCTTCCTGGATGTGGAGAGCATGCCAAAAGAGGGAGTGGAGTTTGCGTTTATGTTTGAGCAGGTGTGTTTTACTCATCCTGTTGCACTTTATTGACTATTTTCAATCACAATGGTGCTCACGACGATAACTCTTATGCTGTTCCTCCAGGCCCATGAGAGTCTGACCCGGGGCCACTTCCCTTCCCGCGAGGAGACCCTGCAGCACCTGGCCGCTCTACGCCTGCAGTTTCTGTTTGGCGACAAAGCGAAGGTCACCTGGAGCCTGGAAAACGTCTACCCCGTGGGACGTCTGCGCAGCCGCATCCTCCAGTTCACCAAGGTGGGCGGCGCCTCGGGCTCAGGCCAAACTCTGGAGCGCCGAAGGACTAGCTTCCTGGACGGGACCCTGCGACGGGGGTTGAAGACGGGCTCAATGAAGAAGCAGCGCATGGAGGAGGAGCAGATGTTGGAGATGTGGATAAAGGAGGAGATGTCTGCCACCAGGGCGAGCATCGTGGAGAAATGGTCCCGCCTCAGTGGTCTGGACCAGCACCAGGCCATGATCGGTTACATGACCATCATCAAGGAGTGGCCTGCATATGGATCCACACTGTTTGACGTCGAGGTAAGCTTAGGCGTCTTTTAATTGATGCCCGATCCGATCGACACGGTCAATATCAGCCTCGATACTGATACGACAGATCAGATCAGTGCGTCCCTAGTTGCGACGCCACTGCACACACTGGATGATGTTTATGCCTCCCTGTGTTTGTGGCTTTCTAGTGCAAAGAAGGAGGCTTCCCTCATGATCTCTGGTTGAGTGTGAGCGCTGAAAATGTGTCTGTCTACAAGAGAGGAGAGCCCAAGCCTCTGGAGACCTTCCCATATGAGCACATCATTTTCTTTGGCGCTCCACAGCCCTGCACCTACAAGATCACTGTGGATGAGAGAGAGATGCTCTTTGAAACACCACAGGTGCGTCAACTTTTTCCGTAGATATCAAACTGTGTTTGTTTGTAAGAGGAAACAGGATGTCTGCTGACTGTGTGTTTCATCTGTACATTGCCAGGTTGGAGAGATCACAAAGATTATGAAAGCCTACATCAACATGATTGTGAAGAAGCGCTGCAGTGTGAAGTCCGTGTCCAGTTATGGAACCAACTGGATCCGGTGATTCACTGACGGGACTCGACATGTACTCTGCTACGGTAGAAGATGTAGAGATGGCAAGAGGAACAAAGCACCTCCACAGAGGTTGTGTTTCAGAGCTTTTTGACTGGCTACTTAGCAATGCAGACAAACTCCATCCATAAAGATTCCTTTCAATAAAGACAAACACAAAAAGGAACTACTGCTTGTGACAGAAGTGGGAACATTAAAGCATCTGCACCATTTTAAGCATTACAGTCCAAGTGTTGCTGCCCTCCATGCAGTCTCATTAGTTACACTGCTCATATGTCACATCTTACTTGAAATGTATTTCAGGCATTTTGCTAAATATCCAAGAAATCTATCTCAAATTTCCAAACAGACATTCATTCAACATCTGAATTAAGACTTTTTAATTTCTAAAAGTGTAGATTTTCTTTAAACATGCATCCAAACTAGAATGTGTTACAGTGGCAACTTGACCGAGTTGTCACCTTTTTTCAAGTGTTTTTCCTACAGATGTTGCGCCCCATTATAATGAATGTTCTCCTTAATGGAGATCCCCTCAGGTTTATGTGTCAGAAACTGCAACTGTCCCAGGGAGATATCCCTCATCTTGCCTTATTTAAGATTTTATTTGAGCTATTCTGGACTAAAAGATTCAGTGTATATGCGGCCTTTCAGGAATGGAATATAAATTTTGGGGTATGGAGTATAGTGGTCAGTGGTAGGTATGGCTTCCACTGGTGCATTTACTACAAAAGCACGTCCCTATCTTTTAAAAAAGAAAATTCAACATGAATAACCACTGCATCAGTGGAGATGCATCGTCTATAACCACTGCAGTCGAGTATTTTCTCAAAATGCACGATTACTAAAAATCAATCCAACCAAAATATACTTCTCTACTAGAACAAGTACTTTTTGTTGAGCTGTTTTATTGTGTACTGACTTGAGGGTATGTAACTCAAACTGATGTCCAAGGTTGTGTTTTTAGAAACAAGCAGGATAGTGCTTGTTGAGTGTGTCTGTGTCTAAAGACAGTTTTACTGTATTTTTCTCAGTGATGTCATGGGCCTTGTAAGGGTGGGGTATTTATTTATGGCAGTGTCAATGGATTAGGAGAACAAGCAGAGTTGAACAGAGTGCTGGAAATGTGTTGTCGCAGTTGTCCTAATACTTTTGATTTTTCTATTTGTGCATTCTTGGACACCGAAATGTAGATTCAGACAAGTTGTTCATAACTTACTTATGATTTTTCTCCATTTTGTGCCCTGTTTCTGAGCTTTTGTCAACATAAAATAACCGAAGTGTGTTGCCCTCGATACCCAACATGCTCAATTCCTTTTATTCATCTAATAGGATATTTCTCTCTTCCAATGTAAATGAACACAAAGGATGCCTATGCCAGTTGACTTACAGTATAGTTCATGTTATGGTCCAAATGTATTGAGCTTAGTATTTACCTCACTTCGCATCACTGTCTTCCATCGCTCTCCAATCGTACTCACTTAGGCGATCTGGTCAGCTGCCGGCGGCCGCACCAGAGATTGATCTAGCCATTGACGATGACTGTATTTCTGAGATTTCTGATTGTTTTGAGGAAGAAAAATCAGAAAATGTTTTATATCAGAATTTAAAGATGCTCTAATAAATTATTGTATTTGAAAATGCTGTTATTACTGTCTCATTGTCATGTCTCACAGGGGACAAAATAGTACGTCCAGTAAATCTGTGGATGTTAATCTGTATATTCACACATTACGACATATTACTACGGCTGATACCAATGGTGGTTGAAACACCGAAGCTGGAATTGGTCCATGTGCATTTTTGTGTATAAAATGAAGAACAAAAAATAATGAATTAATAAACAATAAAATTAATGCATTGCTAAATTGTGCCACAGCTAAGTGTTTGGGCATTAACAGTCTGTGCTTGCGTCTGTTAGAATGGACTAATTACACCTTTAGTGACTCTTATTAGTGTGACTTCTTATAATCATCACAGCTCTGCCTGTCATCATGCTGCATCATGTACTGTTGGCAGAATTAGAGAAACAGAAAAAGCTCCATTTATTTGAACTTGGTGAGGTTCACGTATTATTCCAAGATGATCCCACTGCTGCTAGCCTTGTAGTCAAACCAAATTAACAACCTCATGAAGCTTTTGTTAAATTACCTACTCGATAATCTGTACTATCGATCAGTCTGTGGAGAACTCATCTGGCGTGTGGTTACAGTAAATTAGGATAAATACTGTGTTAGAGTTGATATGTTTCCTTTAGGATTCTGCATGGTATGTTGGAATGGGCTGGATATTGAATATTGTGGCTATTGTTTTTTTTATTTATTGTGAACTAAAATAATTTAGATTAATTGTGAAGAAAGGAAACACTTCCAGGTAAATACTTTTCTTGAACAGGCACCTTCAAGAAAGTTTTTTCTTTTTACAACTTTATAATGTTAATAAATTATTCACTGATGTTTTATGGATCAGTTACAAATTGTAGCAAATTATATTTAAATGGTAATGGATGTACTTTTCCAATCCGCCATCAATTCTGCTGTCAAAAATGTTAAAGGGGCCATTAATAAAAGGTAAGGTTTCTCTATTTCAGAGTTCTCTAAAACGACACATGAGATTAAGCCACCAATAAAGCACTTTTACGACCACTTGTCTGTAATTGTGTGACAAAGCAATGTGTCGTGCTGAAAGGAGAAACTGCTCGAGATTTTTCACAACCTGGCAACCCAAAACGTATTGTTATTATTGTTTCTTTTTTTCTTTTTTTAATACAACATGACGGAACGGACACTCTCTCTCACCTACATTGAACATTTTATGGCTTCGCACAATACATTATTTTGGGTAGCGTCAGGAGCTCGTGACGTCAGCCCTCGAGGAGGTCCACCCTCCATTCTGACTTCTCGAAACGTTAGTTTGGTCAGTTACTTCCATGCTGTCGGTGGTTTGCACTCGTCTCACAATGTCCGGAGTTTACCGAGCCTTTGCCTTTGTCTTGATTTTCTACGGAGTGTTTTTGACCACAGAGGCGCAGACACCGACTCCTTCTCCAGCTCCGAGTAAGTGTGTGTGCGTTTTTTCTCCAGCTTTTAGCCGTTGTACTTTGTTTTGTATTACCAGAGTTGGGTCAGGAGGTGGTCACATGACTGCAGAAAAAAGTGGATTTCCACTAACCAGAGGAGGCAAAGATAATCATCTCAATTCATGGTAATGGTTCGCAAGCAAACTTTATCCTAGTTTCTTTGTGTCTTAATAACTTTAAACTCTGTTTATGATTTGTCACTGTGGGCATGAAGTTAAACCTCTGTTAAAATTTAATTTCCTGTAAGGCCATTTATACAACAGCTTGAACCTACAAAGTAAAAAGAGGGCCAGAATGGCATAAAACAATATAACACACCGTATTGTATCTCTGTTTCAGCTCCTTGTGCCTCGAGATCCAACACCAGTTGTGCTGAATGTCTGCAGAATGTGACAGTGAGTCTCATGAACTCAAATACAAATGCTGTAACGGGTTTCAGCTTTGGTAGTGGTGTATTACTATGAATAACAATACCAAGCCCAGTGTTTTTGTTGCAGTGTTTGTGGTGCTCACCAACCAAACAATGCTTCGACTATCCAGTGAGGAACATCCTGCTCCCCAGCAGTGTGTGTCCATTGAGTGATGCACGATGGGGGTTGTGTTGGGGTAAGACTGACTACAGCTTAGCCCTCACATCTGGGTATATCCTGCAAAATTAAATGACAACTACTTCATTGTTTGAGTCATTTTTGCCCAAACATTCTCTCGTTACAGCGTTTAATTAGTGATGATTTGCTGTTTTTTTTCTTTCTTAGTTGGTAGTAAAGTGAATATCCAAAAACCTATTTGAAGACCTGAACTTGTGATTTAGGAAATAGTATAAACTATTTTCTGTCATTTTAGAAGTTGAACAATTGATTAATCCATAGAAACAATTATCAGCAGAATAATTAATAAGGAAATTAATTCCAGAACATCCTTAGTTTACTAATAATCATGTAATGCCAATTAATTGACTAGTCGTGTCTGACTAGTCAGTTAATTGACTTAAACGACTGAATGACTAATTATGGTGCTTTTTCTCAACTGAAAAAAAATGTTTTGGTCTACTAAGACCCGAACTACCAATAGTTAAAAAAGGGGGCAGTAGTGTCTATTTATTATGATTCATAATATGATGCAATGCTCTTTTTTCTCTCCTTGTCCGCCTTTGACTTCCAGTAAACTTCCAGATTTTGATCATCACCATGTCAGTGTTCGGTGGCATCATCGTTATTGGCCTTCTTGTTTGCTGCTGCCGCTGCTGCAAGTGTGAAAGAAATGGGTGAGCATTGAGTCACGTGAAGTGTTGGCTGGGAAATCTGGTTTAACATGGAAGGAGGAGGACGGGGAACACAATGAGTCGTTTTTGTGCGAGGCCGGGCTGATACCGCCGTCTCCAAAAGCCTGCCAGAATGTGTAACTGCAGTTTAGCTCTGAAAATAATAACATTGGTCTTTCTATTTAGCCGTGGTCTAGCCTCTTAAAAACTTGTTAATTTAACAATGGCATACATGTATATGTGTATATGTGTGTGTGTATATGTGTGTGTGTGTGTATGAGCTGTCCGAGC